ATCTTAAGTGGCGCTGTCGGCGAGAGCGAAGTGCTCGGCTTGGCGGGTCGACTTAAACTGATCGGTCAACTGGATGGGCGTGCGGTTTTATAGGCAATCGGCGGACTGAGCTGACTGGTGGGGGTACTCTGGATCCCTTGAGTGACGTGTTTTTTGCGTTATATTTTTTAGAATTGGGAACCACGTTTTGTTTAAAGCAAAGCCTTCTTCTTTTCTATTGAAATTATATGTTTGTAGCTTTCAATTGCCTCTCTGTAAATTCGGGCTGAGTAGTTTGTCGATGTTGATAGGACTTCAGTTTGGTCGAACAGAACATTGTGGCCGTATTGCAGTGCGTGTTCGGCCACCCCTGATTTATCAGTTTGTCCCAGTCGACAGTTTTTTTCATGCTCCTTGATGCGTGTTTGGAAGCTACGTTTAGTGGTGCCTACGTATACTTTATCACAGGAACACGGTATTCTGTATACGCCGGCACAGCTCAGGGGGTCCCTAGAGGCCTTTACTGATGTTAGGAGTTGCTGAATTTATTTGTAGGCTTATAGATGGTCTTGACGTTGTGTTTCTGCAGCAACCTTCCTATTCTATCCGTAATGTCTTTAATGTATAGTAGGAAGGAGACTACCGCAGGTGGTTCCTTGTCTCCTGCTGGCGGTGAAACCTGTTCTAGTTTTAAACACATGTGGTTGAATTAGCCAAATTAGGAGGATTAAAGGCTTTTTGCTAAATACTATCGGCAAGTAGAACTAGATCAATAAAACTTGAAATTCACAAGAACGTTTTGACTAGAATTTTTATAGCTTATTAGAACCCGCAGAATGGCGCCAAAAATCAAACAAAAAGGTTGAAAATGCTCAACTTTTTTGAGACTTTTGTACAATGGGGATTTTTTATGACATTGAGATTCCCAGCTAAGATCTTTGTAGTAGTCTCTTTGACTTTATTAAATACTGTTGATGGTGTGGATGGACTCCTCGTTCAAGGATTTTTTAATTTCTTTATTACTCGTAAGTCTGGTTAACCTTCATAAAGGGAATGAAAAAAAATAATTATTTTACTAAAAATATTTATTTGAAAAATAATACATGGTATCAAGCAGTCTTCCAAAAACATAACCTAAAGTCATCTCCCAAACAAACTAGTGGATATCTATAATGCCACGTCACGTTCGTGGGCAGCGTGACGTTAGCTGTCAGCTTGACAGTTTGGCTTTTGACGTGAATGACCTTCATGGAGCTATCCAGGCTGTTGACAGCAGCTACCAGTTCTCCTTGGGGCGAAAACCTGATGTTGCCGCCATTTTCGTTGAAAAAGGCATTGTGTTGTTGTGGAAGACTGAAAAAAATGCCGAAATTGTTATGGTCATAGTATATCCTGGATATATCAGCTATGTCTCGACAATATTGTCTGGAATATGCAGACACACACCAGGACAGGATTTCTCATCAGAAGAACAAAATTAGGCAAGAATGACTAACAAAGCCAGAGCTTAATTTACTTATGTTACATTAATGAGGATTCCAGTAATTTGGCAATCTGATTAAAAGCAACATTATGATATCACAACCTATATACCTTAAGAAATATAGGGAGTATAAATGACAAACTCTACCTAGGTTACGCTCACCCAGAGGTATTGTTTTTGTCGAGTAGAGGGAGAGGGATCAAATATGAAATAAAATAGTTAATCCAGTGTGTCCATTCCAACTTCATATGAGATTACTAAGCCAATATAGACTTACATGGTTGGTAAGTTCCCAAATGAGAAGTTCTCCACAATGCAGAGATGCTACCAGATCTCTGTCAGATGGGGCCCAATGAGCACTGCATAACGGTTTTGTATAATCTAATGACAATATTGGTGATTCTGATTCCACATTGAAAAATCTGATAATGCCTAATTTTTCAGCTACCAAAAGTTCACATGTGTCTTCTCTTGCCAGCAAACATTTATACCTACAAAGAATGAAGGATGTTTTTGTCAACAGATTGCTATCACATGGCTTAAGTTTTTTACAACATTTGTGTGTGATACAAAGAATGAATATTTACCAGGTGATGTTAAATCAAATGTGGCTTATATGCACCATCTACAAACCATATTTTGACTGTATGGTCATCACTAGTTGAAGCAAATATTTGTTATCTGGATCAAAGCTAACATCATTTATATAGCTAGAATGGCCAGTAAGAACCTAAAACAGAGATAAAACACTTAACGTTAACTCTTATAAAGTGTCAAACCACTAGATTTTCCTTCACAAAACTTCTGCATCAAATTTTAGATTTTGAAATACCTATACAAATGTATTTACTCTCATTTATTATTTTTTTTTTATGAAGAATCGTAATACCTTGCATGTGTTCTCATCATTCAGATTGCTGTCATATAAGCGAAGTTTGAAATCGTTACCTGCAGCAGCAAATAGGAGCTTATGAGGTATATTGAATAAAGATGTTTGGGGTGAAAATGCTAAAGCTGTACATCTATTTGGGTGTGCAAATTCTGTGAGGATTTCTACTTGTAATGTTTCCTGTAAAAAGGTGTTTTTGTTAACAGACATGATTTGCTCTGGTATGTATAAACTTTACCAGTTGCTTTACTGCAGTACTCTGATAAATAATAGATTTGAGGATACATCTGCTAGAAGCTATCTAATTTGACATCCCTTTATAATCAATCACAGCTAAGCAACTGTATACTGTATCTGTAAACATTTGACTTAAATTAAATACTGTACCGTCAGTTTTAGCTGAGCAAGAAGTATCTTTTCTTGAAACGCTATGAGGAGCAAGTCCTGGCACCATTCGAAAGGGGCAAATTGTACAGAGAGTATTTGACCATATTCTGAAACATCTTTATGAAGGTTGGCTCGTTGAAAATATTTCTTGTCGTTCTAACACCATTGCGATACAGATTTTATCCAAGAAACGAATACAGATCTAAATATTTAAACAAATTAAAAAATTAACCAAACGCCTATTGACGGCGAATGACACCTAACCTAAGAAATCAGATGTCAGGCAAGGTGGATCGGTAGCTAGTGCCACCACTCTCGTCCAAAGTTGATTGTGTAGCTATTGCCTAATAGATGGCGCGGAGAAAGTTGCCGAAAGAGACTTCCGATGAATGTGTATAGCAAAACTCACAACCAAACAACGCCAAGCGAGTACAGGATGAGCAAATAAAGGTTATAGTTTAGTATTTATAGTGCGTTAATTTAAAAGAAATGATCTCTTGGGGTGTAATAGAAAAGACGAAGCAACGAATTATGATGGTTCGTAGATATTTTATTATTAAAATGCGCGCGGGTCGGTCATTCTATCTCATGTTCATGTCATCACTACAAAGAACAGTATTGAGCCTTCATAGTGCTGGAAGATGAGTGGTAATGGGTGGAACTATCAAACGTTTACAAGATAGTTTACAAGAAACGGAGAGAGACTGCATTCCGATTGTTTCCCTAAAATGTCTTCTCATGTTTAATAATTTTTAATATGTTCGCGTGTATTGATATTTTTAACATGTAACGAAGGTATCGGTCGTTATCAACAAGCCCAATGTCTCCGTCCTTTTGTTTTTATACTTATTACAAGTTCTATCTTCTCTACGTTCGTTTTGAAATACCTTGTGGCTGCAACCTCAACGACGAATCCTGATGAAGGCTCCATAGAGAATGCCGAAAGCTTGATTTTATCGTCAAAATTTGCCAATTCCCAATTAACTATATATATATATTAATGTATCATCAGTAAATAGTTGAATTTTGTAGTGTTGTAAAATATCAGGGATATCGTTAATATATAAAATAAATAGTAATGGACCTAATTTGCTACCCTGTGGCACACCTACCGAAATGTTTTTAATGTTTGATAATGTATTGCTAATTTTAGTTCTTTGACTTCTATTGATTAAATAAATAATTTTGTAATAAGTTGATACTGAACCTTGAAATCCATAAAAATGCAATTCGTTAACAATTTTTCCCTGTCAATAGTCTCAAATGCTCTCTTGAAATCTAAGAAACAATGATACTGTAAAACTTTTTTTCATCCATATTTAGTAGTGAACCCTGTTGTAGAAAAAATTGTATAGAAGGATTTGACAAAGGAATTATATATTCTTCAGCATACAGAAGAATTGTAGGAGATAAATAGACCTTCAAAATGAGAACTGATAGACTTCTACAACGGTAAATTAGTTATTGCAAAATCGTTTATTTTTTGCCGAAAGTGCATAAGAGTAAATATGAAATATGTAGTAGTTAAAAAACTTAAGCCTGTGTAGTGACTAACTTCAAAAAAAAATCGTCAATAGTGTTCTATCCACTGACGTAACTTTTATCAACAAATTAGACATGCAGGGTGAGTTCTTAGTACGTAATTTGTCCTCCATTATCACAACAGGTAATCAAAAAATTTATTTACAAAAATAATTGTGGATGATAACTATACTTCCTACTTGGAAAATATACCGCTCCCTACAAGGTGATATTATACTAATTCCCGAAATATATAGTTTCACTTTGTTGATCTTTATTCGTTGTTATCCACTATTACTTGAAATTGAATATGCAGAAGAATATTTACCTAGTTTCTTCTAGAGTGATTTGAAAAACAAATCTGTAATATTTTCACCATTGTGATCTCCGAGTCGGTTTAATGGTAGCAAATTTGCGTAATTATATATTTTAGAAAATTTATTTGAAAAGCTTGGACGCTCCGAGTATCTCCGGGGATATTCGGAAAAGGAAACGAATTTTTCCAAATTTAAAATTCTGATTTCAAGTATTACAGCATTAGTATTGTAAAACTATAATTATTAAAAACACGAATTTTCCTGAGTAAGCCTTGAAATTGTCGTATAGTCATTACTCCATAAGATATCAAATATGTTAACATCTTATGGATTTCAACTAATCCTAATAATTTCCCATCTAATAGATCTTGGTTCAGCTTGTGGAGAACCCTGTACAAGATCGATTTAATTTGTATAAAAAAACTATTCTCATTTTCATGTTCATTTTTATTGACACTTGATCGCACAGTTAACGTTAACATCGAAGAAACTGATAACACATGCCTCTTTCTTCAACTGAAGTATCCATGCCTCGTTCTAACAACAACCTCCACATCCGCCCTCAGGCCTCTTTCCAGTATTTCCACAGCACCCTCCTCCCTTCTTCTTTCCTCCGCTGTGAGAATCTTGACCTTGAACACTAGCCCTTCTTTGGCTTCCCCCTTGGATGCTTGTCCTTCTAGGTTGCGGTAGTGAGAGACTTGGCCTCCTTGGACCGGCTTGCTGTTGGGGTTGCTGCTGGAAGGTCAATTCCCACTGGGCTGGTACCCCTCCTCCACAGGAACCTCTTGAGAGTAAAATGGTCTCATTTTTTTAAAGATATACATTTACTATTTGTAAGCAGGGTGCAAAAGATACTTAGAGCTTCAATAAAGTAGGAAGAAGTATATTGGAGACATATATTTAAAAAAAACATTAGATCTTATAATAGTAAAATACAGGGTGGCGCATCGAAAACGAAACAGACGCATTTACTGGCAGCTCAGTTTTTTTTTTGAAGACCCGTCGATTTTGTTTCGAGGGGGCCACAAGTTTGGCAAAGAATCACGATTGCACGTGCAGCCCCCTAAGCGGGGGTGACACCACCCCCAAAATCTTAAATGGAAAGAGTGGTCGAGTGATACCTTATTTTAAAGGTCTTTCAATTCCCTTTATAATGATATGAAATTTATGTACTTCTGTTCAGTAGTTTTGAAGATTTATTGATCTAAAGCTTAAATAAAACTAATACATCATCATTAGTGGAGATCAATACATTTGGCAGCAAAGAGTAATTTAAAAATGAAGAATGAACTGACCCGTTAGGCAAGTAAATGTTGAAAATGGCCACCATGACTCTCCATGCAATAATAAAGATTTTGCTCAAAACGTTGCCCCACATTTTGCAATATTTGAGGAGTTATTTGAAGGCACTCATTCACAATTCTTTGTCGCAGGTCTTCTAATGATGTTGGCTGAGTAGCATAGCTTTTGCTTTCTAAATGACCCCACATAAAGAAATCCAAAGGTAATAAATCTGGCGATCTTGGGGGCCATTCAATGGCACCTCTTCTACCAATCCATCGATCTGGAAACGTCTGATCTAAATAATGTCTAACACGTAATGCGTAATGTGTTGGGGCACCATCCTGTTGGACATCAACCTATTCGCAATGTACCGCCGATCATTCTGATTTTAAATTATGGCTGTTAATGCAGGATCTATGGCGTCTTCCAGTAATTCCAAATACATTTTACCGGTCAAATTTCCAGGTAAGAAAAAAGGACCAACTAAATGATCGCCAAAAATACCAGCCCAAACATTTAATTTATGTGGTTGCTGTGTATGAACCTCATGATAAATTCTGGGATTAGAATCGGACCAATATCGGCAGTTATGACGATTTACTACGCCATTTAAGAACAAGGAACATTCGTCGAAAAAGCACGTGTTGAATAGAAAATGTTCATCGTTTATAATTCGTTCACTCATATCTTCACAAAATTGTAATCGCCGATCAAAATCGTCTTCATTAAGTTCTTGTACCAGGTGAATTTTATACGGATGAAAACTATGAGCCTTTAGAATCCGTTTTACAGTACGTCGACAAACACCACACACAGTCTCCAATTTGCGGGTACTTAACGTAGGATCTACATAAACTTGCCCTAAAACCCCCACTTCTATTGCTTCGTTCCTTATGGGATTTTCAATGTTGTTTTTTATTGGCGACTGACCCAGTTTCCCGAAATTTAGCTACGAGTTCTAGAAATATTTTCCAGGCTCGTTACTGTTTTCATGTCGCTCATTGAATATTTCTGCTGTTCTATTAGCGCACTGATTATTTCCGAAAAAAGTTATTTTACCAACAAAGTTTGGTCAAATCAATCACAAACTATGTACTAAATTCCTATTTAAAATAAGTACGAGATATTTCCTTATCCTTCTTCAAGAAATAACTTTTTTGCCACAAAAAAACGCTCCAATATCTATTTTCAACAACAAAATGATAAACAAACCATGGGCGTAGTGAAGAAAAGCATTTACATATTGAGTAAATTCTTTTAGTCAAATTTCTTCTGAAAGTAGTACAAACTAATCTGATGTACCTATTAAAGTCTACTTTAAGCTTTAAATCAATAAATCCTCAGAACTACAGAACTGAAGCTCATGTATTTTGCATCATTATAAAGGGAATTGGAAGACCTTTAAAATAAGGTATCACTCGACCCCTCTTTCCATTTAAGATTTTAGGGTTTGTGTCACCCCCGCCCAGGAGGCTGCACTTGTTAACGTGATTTTTTGCCAAACTTGTGTCCCCTTCGAAAACAAATCGACCAGTCTGAGCGTTTTTCCAAAAAAAAACTGAGCTGCCAGTAAATGCGTCTGTTTCGTTTTCGATGCGCCACCCTGTATATAGAAGCATTGTCTACTGACACAACCAACGTGTCGCCTTTCCAATGACGATAAAGTGAACCAACGAACAAAGCGACCGCTAGAGTGAGCAGAGGATATGAGGGTGACATCGACAAGTAAAAAATGAATTTCCGAATATCAAAAATTTCGCCTATGGGTGGAAACCAAAATCCGAGGAGGAGGTCTTAAAATATCTGAGGTCCGAAGCATAAGCATCCTACATGGAGCCCCCGAGAATCTGGCCTACGGCTGAAGACGCTATGTAGTAACGCGGACTTTCAGACTACTATAATTGAAGACCTGTGGCTTAGAACTGTCAGAAGCGTAATGATTGTCAAGTCATGATTCCCAAAACACAACTTTTCACTTCTGTGGATCCCCTGGATCCGCGTTTTGGGATGTGCAGCTCCAAGAGCCGATGCGAGGTCTTCTATTCCAGTGTGAGATGATACAAGATAATCCAAAGAGCTCAGAGGTAGTTCAAGGAGATTCACGGTTATCCAAGGAGATCCCGTAGATAGATCATCATCTCTAAGCAATTCAAGGAAATCCAAGACAATCCAAGGATATTGAAGATTATCCAAGGAGATCCTTCAATTGGGCACACACAGGCGGCACGTTTATCTCGCCATTGTAGCTGATACAATCTGATGCAAGAAGATCTAAAAGATCCAGGGCTTTCCAAAGAGACTGAGTGGTGGTCAGTCTCTCGGCAAAAATTTGCGGGTCTCACCTAGGTGTCATCGCGTGAGCTCCAGACATTCTGGGAGGTGCAGGCATACTGGACGTTTGCTGGATCTGCTGGGGTGGGCATGGTGTTCCGGGGAAGCCTTGCTGGAAATGGAAAAGACAAAAAAACATTTTTCAGAGGGAAAGCATTATTGGGACGAGCTGGTATTTCTCGATACTTAAAACTTCACACGATTGTGGTACTTACGCTGTACATGTCTGTGTTGAAGTCTTGAGGACAATTTGGAACGCGTTGACCAGTATTAGTTGGAGGAGCCATCATTTGCTGCTGGTTTTCATCACATGGTGGACAACATTCGTCTCCCTAAAATTCATAATTGTTGTCGTATCAACCAGAATTGGGAATGATGAATTACAATGACTCGAATATTCCTTCATCATTTGACAGTGTTCCGTTAAGTGTCATTTTCAAAATATCAATTTGTGCACTGGTTGCGAAAAAGGGCGGAACATTTTTTTGGAAAAGCCTGATTTACCTGTGGTGGTCGCCGATTACATTCTCCTCCACAGGTTGGCTTACAAGGCTCAGGTTCTGGTTCTGAAAAATTCAACCAAGAGAGTTAGCTCAAAAATTCGACTCGCAACTGTGGACGAGCTTGTTTGTTTTTTCTTTTCTTCGCTACTATACGAGTACAATGTGTAGCGACAACAGCTTGAACTGTTCTGTACCAGAGATCGCGCGAAGACATCATTACAATTTTCAGCATTTGAAAAATAAGGCCTTTTAAGTAAATTGGAAACATATTGTGTAGCTGGAAAAGTATTGAAATGGTTTTCAGATTACCAATCAGGATGCAAGTAACTAAGATAAATAGCATTATTTCATCGAAGGGGGTAAATGATTTAGAAGTCGCTCAAGATAGTATCCTGGGACCACTTCTTTTCAGCTTGCATATAAATGATTTGCCCGGTGTAAATTTTTGATGCACTAACTACTGAACATTTTTAATCAGGTATCTCATCAATAGCGATTTAAAACTTGTATCAGAATGACTAATTATATCTCACGTCCATTCCGAAGATGTATTTAACTAAGGTAGTACGCTCATGCGTACTGCGGCGCCACATCATTTTTAAGATGAAGTAGTAGCGCGAGCGCGGATATGTTCTTCCCGCTCGCCGCCGTCCGCTGTAAACTGCCTCCCGTTTCATTCGCTTTTATGTGTGCGTCGCGTCCACACGTGTAGTTTCCGTGCCCGGCTCCGCAACAGACGAAAAAACCAATAGTACAGGTATGATAGTATTTTTTTGCTATTCACGACATTCATAGAATGTTCTGTTACATCAGGATAATACGAAATAATGATATTTTTATTGGCACAGTCCCAGATTTTTCTTTTGCATTTTCTCAATTTTTCACGACAAGGCTTCCTAGTTTATTTTGCTGTGCATTTAATGTAATTCGAGAAGTGAACTTTATATACTAATCACGTTAAAATCGTTCTGGTGAGCAACTATTTCTCCACAGGGCTTGTTTTACAGCATGGGGAAACGCAAGAGAAGCCGATCCAGCGACAAACTATCGCGTAGAGACTTACAAAAAACAATTAATGAGCTTCGCGATAGACTAAACAGGCAGGAGCGAGATCGTAGGTCCCATTCACGTCGGCACAGTCGAAGCATTTCTCCGAGGAGGCCCCGCTCTAGTTCGCGCAGTCGATCCTTAGTACAGGACCGTACTTCGATAAAAAGAAGGGGGGTGCCAGATTCGGAGGATCGTAACCACAATTATACGACTCGGAAACGTCGAACTTTGGCAAACCGACTTCCGAATATCAATACTCTAGGAATTCATCGAGAGAACGTCGGGTTTCGCACAGCCCAACTTCCAATCGATACCAAAATCCTAGAAATACATCGAGAGAGCGTCGGGTTTTGAACAGCCCGACTTCTTCACGATTTTCAAAAGAAAAAATAGACCGACGTAGCATGAGCCGAGCCTCGTACGACTCGGCGAGTGTCACCAGTGGTAGAAGCCCGGCATCGAACTGTCCGGCTATAAACCAAGACCATCTGGAACTGGATGACCTAGATACACTCGTACTCCAAGACGACAAAAATTTACAAGCTGAAAACACTGAGAATGAGGCGGAGCAACTTCCAGAGTGCGTTAAAGAGGTATTAGGCATTGACACTGACACAGAAACAAAACAGTCCTATCATCTCAATGATGCTATAAGACAAGTTTGGTCACAAACAATAGCCCAAGGCATAGGAAAGGAAAATATGGATCAAATTTTGGATCGCCATAGGCCTCCCAATAATTTTCCTACTCTTGATCCTCCAAAAGTCAACCCGGAAGTTGCTCACATTCTTTCTCAAGCATATGTTAAGAGGGACCAATGCCATGCAAGATATCAGCTATTGGTGGGAAAAAGTACAAGTGCGCTTGGCAAATGCATGAATTATGTCATCAATGAAATCAAGAATAATGTTGATTCTGATCTAAAAATGCACTTGCTACCACATCTAGCAGATGTGGGCACATTCATGACCCAGCTATTCCATGAGATCTCGACGACCCGTAGGGAATATATTTCACAACTTCTCTCCAAATCGGTGAAAGATACCATCAAAGAGACTATTCCGGGGGAATATCTATACGGCACCGATTTGGCAGAAAAGATTAAAATGGCAAAAATTGCAGAAAAAGCTGGGAACGACTTAAGACAAGACGGTTATAGCAACAAGGCAGGGCCATCCGGCATCAGAAGAGGGGGGGGGGGCACACCTCTCAGCGCCAGCATGGTACCTCCAAAACTGCATACAATGCTCGTACTCCATATAAAGCGACTAGCTACCGCCCGTCTTTAAACAGGCAACGCCCGCCTCGCCAGTCAGGGAGGGACTCGGGGCCGAGGAAAGGGCAAACCTCCAAGCAAAGTCGCCCCCCAGGGAGCAGATACCAATAAAGGTAAGTCATTCTAAGCTAGCGGGCAGACTATCCCATTTTGTCGAGTCTTGGAAATGTATAACGAACAATTCCACAGTTCTATCCTGGATTAAGGGATATAAGATCCCTCTCTTAGCAACACCTGTTCAGAAACAGAATCAAACTGCCCACACTCAGTGCGACCCTTGATTGCCTTGGCAATCAGGGAGCTACTAGATATCGGAGCAGTATCATCATGTACGGAGAGGAAAGACCAGTACGTTTCAACTTACTTCCTAACTGAAAAATCCAACGGAAAGAAACGGTTCATTTTAAATTTGAAAAATTTAATGAATTCGTGAAATACGAGCATTTCAAAATGGAAGATTTTCGGACAGTACTAAAACTATTGCAAAAGCAATACTGGATGGCAACCATCGATCTAAAAGACGCATACTTCCTAATATCAATAGACAAATCATTTAGGAAGTATTTGAGGTTCAGGTTTAATTCTAATACATTTGAATTCAATTGCTTACCATTTGGTCTCTCGTCAGCACCGTACTGTTTCACAAAAATAATGCGACCCGTCCTGGAAAACCTGCGTACTCAAGGGATTCTGTTGGTCAACTATTTAGACGATTTCCTAGTCATCAGTGACTCGTCTGAAAAATGTAGGGAACACACAAAAATTGTGGTAAACACATTACAGTCCATAGGTTTCATCATAAACTTTGAAAACAGTTCGTTGACCCCAGAACAGAGAAAAATATTTTTAGGATTTCAATACGACACCAAAAATATGAAAATATCCCTACCGTCGGAAAAGAAAACGTCCATTAAAAACATGTCAACGTCTTTCCGAAAAAGGGATACATGCAGTATAAGAGAACTTGCACAGTTCATAGGCACCTTAACCGCAGCCTGCCCTGCGGTTAAGTACGGCTGGTTGTACACCAAGCGTTTGGACAACTAAAGTGCTCAGCTTTAGAAGCGAACAACTACAACTATAATTGTATAGTAGTCTTACCACATAACTTTATAGATAATGACCTAATCTGGTGGGAGCGAAACATCTTAAATGCGGAAGCCGATATTAAACAGTCAGGCTATAGTATGACAATATTCACAGATGCCTCACTGACTGGGTGGGGTGCATGTAGAGGACACGACAAAACCCATGGTTTTGGTCCAATCCAGAAAAAGATAATCATATAAATTACTTAGAACTTACAGCTATTCTTTATGGCTTAAAATGTTTCGCCCGGGATGCAAGGAACTGCAGTATTCTGATTAGATCAGATAACACGACGGCAATATCTTGCATCAACCGTTTGGGCAGTATACAATCTACCAAGCTCAACAACAGAACGCGAGACATCTGGGAATGGTGTCAAGCCAGAAATATTTGGGTATTCGCTTCATACGTCAACACAAAGGACAATCTGGAAGCAGACAGGGAGTCCAGAGTAGTCTCAACCGAAACAGAATGGTCTCTGGCAGATTCAGCATTCGATGTTTTAAAACACGAATTCGGATCTCCTGACGTTGACCTTTTTGCCTCAAAAATAAATCACAAATGTCGACGATATGTATCATGGAGGAAAGATCCGGATTCGGTCGCAGTTGATGCATTTACTATTAGCTGGACCGATATTTATTTTTATGCATTCCCCCCATTTTGCTTAATATTGAAGGTGTTACAAAAAATTATCCAGGATAAAGCTAAGGGAATTGTAGTAGTACCAGACTGGCGTGCCCAGGCATGGTATCCGCTTGTAGAGAAACTACAAGTTGGAAGATCTGTTACTTTTGGACCTGACGATAATCTTCTGACTTCTCCTTTCAGTTCAACCCACTCTCTGGCCAACAGATTAACATTAGTGGCCGCGAAATTATCCGGCAGGGGTTTCAACTGAGAGGAATATCGGATGAGGCGGTAGAGACCATAATCGATTCAATATCGACAGCTACGATCAGCCAGTATGCGTGTACTTACCGTCTATGGTATAAGTACTGTGAAGAGAAGCAGATACCAGTATTTCAGGCAAACGTCCTGCAGGTAATAGAATTCCTTCAGAACATTATCAATACAACTGAACTAAATTATGGAAGTTTAAACAGCCACAGATCTGCGATCTCCTTATATCCTCCGATAGCCTAGGTTCACACCCCCTGATAAAACGGTTCATGAAAGGGGTAGCCAGAAGACGACCAATGAACCCCAGGTATAGGTTCACGTGGGATCCTCAACCAGTTCTTACAGCATTAGGAAATCTCCCTAACAACCAACTTAAAAGCCTCACCCACAAACTGGTGACCCTACTTTCACTGGTAACAGGTGGCCGCCTTCAAGCGATCTCTTTATCCGGGTATCAAACATTCACAGAGACGAAACCAGATTACAAATAATGATTACGGACCCAGTAAAGACGTCACTTAGCCTCATGATCAGCTTTTCTGAGTCTCCCGTTCTTCACACCAAATCCCAACATATGCCCAGCCTCAACAGTGCTGCAGTACTTAGAGTCAACGAAAGAAATCCGAAATAATGAAGATTTCTTATTTTTAACTTATGTAAAACCCCATAAAAAAGCAACAAAGCAAACCCTTGCCCGTTGGGTAAAACAGACACTTATGTCATCGGAGTAAATACGACTGTATTTAAACCTCATTCAAACTAGGCACGCAGCAACGTCAGCAGTCCGTAGGGCAGGGCTGTCGGTAGACACTATTTGTAAAACTGCAGGCTGGTCTCAGAAGACGGCAACCTTTGCAAGGTTCTACGACCGACCACTACAGCGGATGATGACTTTGCAAACACGATACTCTCAACGAGTATAAATTAGAATATTTTCACCTTATTTTACTTTTGCTATGATAGCAGTTTTGTTCAACTTATTTCGTATATAAAACATCAATGCATATGTTTGTGGTTTGTATCTTTGACATCTACCTTAGTTAAATACATCTTCGGAATGGACGTGGGATATAATTTAACGATCAAACGAACTTACCTGAAGTTCGATCGTAATTATATCGATCGTCCATTCCGAAGATGTAGAAACCCCCCCTCCCTGAAATGCAGTGGCTTTTCACCCTGCTCATATGCATTGAAAAACAATCTTTGAAGGAATGAAACGGGGAGGCAGTTACAGCGGACGGCGGCGAGCGGGAAGAACATATCCGCGCTCGCGCTACTATTCATCTTAAAAATGTGTGGCGCGCAGTACGCATGAGCGTACTACCTTAGTTAAATACATCTTCGGAATGGACGATCGATATAATTACGATCGAACTTCAGGTAAGTTCGTTTGATCGTTAAATTATTTGCACGTCGGCCGAGTAAGAAGCCGCTAATCTCGAGGAAAACCGTAAGGACCGATTACAATTTGCACGGTTGTATCTTTATTGCAGCATTTGTGACTGGAAGAAGGTATGTTTCAGTGACGAATCCAAGTTCAATATGATCAGATGGTGTTCATTACATTAGACGTCCTAGTGGACAAATATTGAACCCCAAGTACACTTTGCCCACTGTCAAACATGGAGGCGGGTCTGTTATGGTTTGGGGGTGCTTTTCGGGGTTTGGGATGGGACCTTTACATAGAAGAGATGGCATTATGGATAAGTTTGTATACACAGACATACTAAAGCATGTCATGTTACCCTATGGAAGACAATATGCCCTTAAGATCAATCTTCCAGCAAGATAATGACCCGAAGCACACTTCAAATCTCGCAAAGAAATTCTTTCTGGATGAACAAATACCAGTTCTCAAACGGCCTTCACAGTCTTCCGATATAAACCCCATTGAAGATCTATGCGAATACTTAGGCAAATACGAAACAAGGATGAACTTTTTGCCGCTTTAGAGACAGATTTAATTATGTATAAAGGTTGGTGTATTAATAAAACAAGTTAAAAAATAAATACAGCACAATAAATTTGTCTATATACTTTTGCCCATTACTGTACGGTCCTCCCCTTTTTCTCCTCCTCAGTGAAAAGGTATGATGTTTTGTGGTACAATGTAAGTCAGTATCCACACTAGGTATAGGTTAACATGTTGACTTGCTAGTCGCATTTAAAAAACCAAATTGGCTAGAACAATAACGTAGTTATCGATATGTTAGTTTACTGAGAGGATCTTCAAGATCCATTGATACTCCCGTGAGCTTAGTCAAGTTAGTCACAACGTCGACCTCGGTGGTTTGTTTTATCGTACAAAAGCCAGTTGGGTGTACATAGTAGAAGACCTAGACATCAGCTCCAAATGTTACAAATTTAGAAAAAGGTAAACAAACTCGTAATTTTAAATTTTTTTCACCTCCATTTTTACATTTTACTGCAAATTAGCTTTGATATTTCGAACGTAATAGCTTCTGAAAAGTCCCGACTTTCAAAATACCCATATACTGTCTACTGACTCCAATACTTGAAGCAACATACTTTCGTAGGTTTTAGAGTGGATACTACTTTCATATTTTATTTGTTTCATATGCTTCGAAAAAAATGTATGGTTGATTTGGATGAAACTGCATATATTAGGAAAGCTAACTAGTGTCATCTACATCTACTTTAAATAATATTCACATGGTTCGCTGTAATCTTATTTAATAAATTTGAAATGCAAGACTCAGGTATCTTATAAAAAAAAAAAATCACATATCCATTATGTTTTAAATAGTTTTCAACCTGGACACCAACATGTATAAATGTCTGATATTTAAAAAAAAAATATTAATAAAATAGAAATTCACTGTCACATGGGAGTAGTACAAGTGAAAACCTGCGGTTTTAAAGTTTTGCAGTAGCAGCTTTTTTCTGGGAAACCTTCAGCCAAGCTTCAAGTGGTTTATGCGCTTCATCATAATATGGTTGACATTCACTTCTCACGTTTCCCAACCACGTTCTAATTTTGGGGAAATGATCCCTAGGTTGATAGCCAGCCAACCCTGAAAATGTAACTGTTTGAATCATAAATCTAACAATAAAAAAATGGCGTCAGTTCATAAAGGATTATGTCCAGAAGTTAAGCCCTATCGAAATAACACAGCACCATAGACCTTATACTAAGTGACATATAAATCCGAACACCCAGTTTAAATGGCTTTATTTTAATAAAAGTTGGTGAATGTATTTATCTTACTGTAAATAACAAGTGAAAAAATTTTCAGCCTTATCAGTTGGACATTCCAGTTTTTATACTGCTTTTTTTTAATTCACTAACGCTCTAAAAATGAATATTTCAGCCGCAGTAAAGAATCAACGTTGGCGGATTTTGGTTCTTGACATCCTTTACGATCGGTTACGATGCCTAGAGTACGGAGACCAATACGATTTCGTCAACTTAGTGAGTTTGATAGGGGCCGTATAGTGAGACTTCGGGAAGCTGGACTTTCTTTTCGGGCAATTGCAGTTAGAGTGCAAAGAAGTGTAGACACTGTGGTTAGGTGTTGTCAGGCATGGCTTCGAGAAGGCCGTACGCAAAGAGCAAGGGGCACTGGACGCCGCCGTAGAACAACAGACCGTGAAGATCGCCGCCTAAGATTATTGGCCTTAAGGGGCCGTTTCTCCACTACCAGGTCCATTGCAAATGAATGGTTTGCAGAACACGGAAGACCTATTGGCATGCGAAGTGTTTACCGACGAATGAGAAGTTTTGGCTTGTTTTCATACCGGCCACACTGGGTCCTCCCTTTAACTCGAGAACACCGACGTAATCGCCTTGAGTGGTGCAGACAACGGTCACTCTGGGATCAGGAATGGAACAGTATTGTCTTTAGTGACGAGTCTCGATTTTGTGTAGGCATGCACGATGGTCGTGCCAGGGTTAGAAGGCGACGTGGTGAAAGGAGGAATCCACAGATTTTTGTTGAAAGACATGTTCATCACACTGTTGGAGTTATGGTTTGGGGTGCTATAGCTTATGGTTCCAGGTCACCTTTAATCTTCATCAGAGGTAACATGAACGCGCAGCGTTGTATCCACGAAGTTCTAGAACCCCATCTTTTACCCTATCTTGACACCCTGGCAGATCCAACTTTCCAACAAGATAATGCCCGACCACATGTTGCAAGAGTCACAATAGACTTCTTTCAACATAATGATGTTACATTGTTACCATGGCCACCAAGATCTCCCGACTTATCCCCAATTGAGCACGTGTGGGATATGATGGGTAGGAGATTGCTCAATTTGCAACGTCCTCCTCAGACTCTAGAAGCTACTTCGAGAGGAGTTGGTGGTTGCCTGGAATGAGATACCACAGGAGGACATTGACCACCCACCTGATCAGAAGCATGCCTAGGCGCGTTGGAGAATGCGTAGCACATTAGGGTGCATCCACACATTATCATTTACTTATTATGCTTCATTAAGTACTTATACAAAATTTTATTAAAATAAAACCGTTTAAACTGGGTGTTCGGATTTATATGTCACTTAGTATATTTAATAAATAGTCAGTGTTGCCAGACAATGAAAGTGGTTAGTTAGACGGTTAGAGTGATTAATTGGCTATGCAACAATAGAATCAATGATTGAAAAAGAATAAAACGCCAGTGGTTTTTCTGTTCAATAATTAATCAGAACCACATATGTTTACTTAATATACTACTTTTCGCCTGCTTGTGTGTATCTATTTTCAAGTAATAATTTAGTATTTTTTTTATTTTAACAAATATAGTTTTGTTACTGGGTAGTAGAAGCTCTACATATCGTATTTATAATGCATCTGGAAAAAATTCAAGGCGTGACTTCTTGTTCAACTTAAAAGTTTATATAAACGTAAGTGCGGAATAGCTCCGTTTTCAAGACACAGGAAGTCATAATCGTCATCTCTCCTTGATTACTTTTGTTAAAAAATTCAAGCATCTACAATCTTTAAAGCAAAATACCTTATTTTACATACAATAATTGTATATAAGTCATTGGATTTAAACTTCTGAATTTATTAGCACGTTTTTTTGTTCTTCTTTGAACTTTATCTGAATATCAATACATTTCAGCAAAATTGGCTGGACGGTTGAATGTTCCTGAAAAAAGGACATACAAATAAAGCGTATCACTCTGTATCATGAAAGAGAAGTCTTTTCGAATACACGTTTATATGAACTTCTTTTCTTAAAGCTAACCAAGAAATCACCCGTTGAATCGTA